TCTTTCCTCTCAGATTTTGGAAGGCACTTCAGATTCTTAAGCCTTAGATTGAGTGCTGTAGCCATCTTTAGAAATCTCACATTGGTGCTTTATTTGCATTTTGTCAAATTTGTTGTGAATGTGTTCATAAAATGAGCATAGGCTGGGTCAACATCTGAGATTGCTACACTATGGAATATATGGCAAAAATGCAGGTAGAACAAGGCCAGAAACATACATTTCTCCCCCAAGAAGTTCAGTCACAAATTGAATTAATGCATTAAAAAAAATAAAACGAGTGTCATCAGCATGGAAGATGTCCTTAATGAAGAAGCATATGAACATTTAGCACATCTGGCATGTAAATACCTTGCCATGTGGTCGAGAAAATGAGAACAGGCATTTGCCTGTCACTTTTGTAATATTATAAACAAGGGGCAAATTATCTCCCAGAAATGTAAACAAACTTGTTTACCTTAGCAATTAGCTGAACAAGAAATAGGACTGAGTGGACTTGTAAAACTTCAGAGCCTGCATTATTCTGTTTGAGTGCAGAGAGGTAACAAAAAAATTGGTTGTACTTTCAAAGAGATTGCACAACAGTACTGACAGGTGGTAAATTGAAAAATGTTTATTTTTTTATAAATATATGCAATGGAAAAATGATAATCTACACTTTGATATCAATTACAATACAACAAGGTAAATTAAGCCCCATCCATGACTCCGATGCTTTTTGGAAAGCAGTTCATCTTGAAGTACTTGAATCAGCAGTTATTTCAGGGACTTCATTATGCCCATTTCTTTTGGATAAATCTCAGCTCCAATTGCCACGCAAACATCCACCAGCAAAGCTCCAATTTTTTTGCCAACACCAAACTGGATAGTCATGGACCTGTTGCAGCCGGGGTAGCCTTCTTCTACATGGTTATAGCAACTTTGCTCTGGTTCAGCCTGGCCTCCCTCACATGTGTCTTAATGCTGACGTGTCAGGGCAAGCCACTCAAAGTTCCAGAAACATCCACTTCCTCATGTGAAATTTCTGGAGCCACTGCTGAGCATCCCAGGTCTGCATGATGATGTGCTCCCAACAGTCTAAGCTAATAACACTGCTTCAGGAGCGCCAATCTGTGTCTATAGCAAGAGTCATCTGCCATTTGGAGCCTGTATTACATCTATATTCTCTCTGAGAAGTGCCTCCAGTAGGAGAAAAAAAAATTACTGTCAAAATATCCACACGCATCTCATAGCTGCCCTACAGTTTCCTGAAATGGGAGGGAAAGTGCAAGATGGATTAAGTTCTCCCCAAAAGTGCTTCACCCTTGTTTGTGGCTCCAGTTGCTAGGACAGCATAGATCTGAAGATGACTCATCTGGAAGTGTTAGCAGGCTGAATAAACTTCCAGTCAAGTGCTGCAAGATGGACAATCAAGTTTTCCTACAAATCACATGAAACAAGACCTAGAATGGCTACAGAAGGAGGCTGTGATAGGAATCCTGGAATATGCCCCCAAAATAAGGATTTATTGGGGTTAGTGTAGTGCAGTATGGATGCAATCAACATGGTGAGATACTCAGGTCCAGAAATTGTAAGCTTGGCTTCACTATGCAGTGTGGATGCAAAATCACAGGCTTAAAAATACTGAGTCTGCAGACTCGGGTTCCATAGACTGAGGTTGACAATGTAGTGAAGACATCTCCCTAGTGCCTGACAGATTAAAGGAGAATTTTATCATCTCCCACCTATTCTAGCCTTCCTCCAGCTTTCCCCTTCCTTTGTTTTGGGTTCTTCTCCCCAATGGAGTAACACAGATTCTTCTCCCCGGTGAAGAATTCCAGCGCTTTCCTCTGTGCCTCATAGTTTTGCCAAGCAGCATCCCCACAAAAGTGACTTGATTTCACAACTATCCAGTGGGGACTAGATACGTTTTAGTAGTAAAGCCTATATTTTGCACAAGTCAGTGCCTTTGCCTGGCAATTGTAGGGACTAAACTTCCTATTCCCAAATGAATTTAAAACCATTAGAAGTCTTATTTTGAGCTAACGTGTATGTTTTTATTGTTACACTTGAGGTTTTTCCAATAACTAGAATAGCAAATTGCAAATATGACATGTTCCAGCTAAGGGTCTCCGAATACTAAACAAGCCTTAGAATGCCAGGAGTTAGAGATGTATTACTCCCACTTTTCAGAGGAGGAAAACTAAGGTGGAGAAGTTAAGACACTGGTTCTAGGTCAGAAACAGAGCTGAGATGTGTCAACATCTAGCCCTCAGTTTTAACAGCAAGAGCATTTGGTTTTCATACGATTAGAACACAAGTGTAACACTAGAATTAAGATACAAGAAAAAACACTCACCCAAACAGGATTGTAATGCATCCTGAGACAAACATCCCCGCCACAAAAATGAATTTGGCTCCAATTTGTACAAGCTGAAATTGGTGAAGAATAAAGGTTATCTTTTAATCATTTCAAGCCCATTTTTAAATCAAGGAAACTTACCTAAGGAATAATGAAACCAGAACATTGCACTGTGGAGAAACACACACACACACACACACACACACACACACACACAGAACAAAGGTGGAGAATCAGACTCCCTCTCCCCCCTCTGCCCTCCCTCCATTTGTAACCAAACTAAAAATGGCTAGTTTCCCCCAATGGTAAGTTCTAGGGTATGTCTACACTACCACCCTAGTTCGAACTAGGGTGGTAGTGTAGACATACCCTAAGATAGCTCTACTGAACATGTGCACACTTCAATTTCAAAGGCTTGTAAGTTGGCAAAAATTGAGTGAATTTTCACAGAGATGGCAAAGACACATCCCTGACACAAAAGCCACCTCCTCATTTATTTTCAAGTCCTTGCTTCAGTGCAGATTACCAAAATTTCCTAACAAGGGCAGTACAGCATTTTTTCTTAGTTTCTTTCTTGAAAAGAACTGAGCTGTTTCGGTTGAAATTAAAAAAAAAAAAAAGAAGAAAAAAAAAAGTCAGGGAGTTACCTGGGAGAGGGTTCAGAAGGTCAGGTTAGAATACTGCCTCTGTCGGTGGCCCTGGTGATCGCCTGGCTCACTTGCCCCTAAGACCGGCTCTGGTTAGGTCCATCAATGGCGATTAGCCAGGATGGGCAGGAATGGTGTCAATAGTCTTTGTCAGAGGTTGGGAAGGAGTGACAGGGGAGGGATCACTTGATGGTCCCCTGCTCCGTTCATTCCCTCTGGGGCACCTGGCCTTGGCCACTGTCGGCAGACAGGACTCTGGGCTAGATGGACCTTTGGTCTGACTTAGCCTGGCCACTGTTATATTGAAGTTAGCAAGGGGTGCACAAAAGCAGCACAAGCCGGGCACCCATTTCCAACCTTCTTCCCGTTTGCTGCCCACAAACCCGCCGCCAGGCTCCTGGCCAAACAGCTTCTTGATTTTGAGGGAAGACTATTGAGAACAATCCGGCTGCTCTGGCCAAGGAAACATTTGCATGAATCACACGGGGCTGCCTGCGCCTTTCTGAACGATGGGGCCGTCTTGTCTTCCAGTTGGAAATGTCTCCGGGCGTTTCTAGAGTGGGCATTTTCTAGGTTCTTAACTCCCTGAGTAAGGGACCTTCCTTCCAGCTCTTTCTTCCACAGGGCTGCACTTCAGCCGTCCTTTGAGGCTGGAGGAATCTTCAGGCTAAGGAATTCTCTTTGAAAAAGGCACAAAGGTCGTGGGCTGAACACAATGGGACTGATCCAGGGCATGCAGAAAATTTCCCTCAGCTTCTCTGGAGGCTGGGTCCGCTTGCGAAAGGCGGGAAGATGCAAACCCAGCCCTGTTCCCCAACAAATATACACTCTGTACTTCTGGTCCCAAATTGTGGCCTAAAGTCAGATCACTTGTTTAAAAGCAATCGGCTCCAGGAAGCAAACAAACAAATGCTTGTTTATACAGACCCCAAAAGATGTACAAGGATGAGTGGGAAAGCAAGTACAGGCAGTCCCCGAGTTACTCGGATCCGACTTATGTTGGATCCGCACTTACGAATGGGGCTTTCTCGCCCTGGAGCTCGCAGGCAGCGGGACTGCCCAGAGCGCAGCGGTCCCGCCACCTCGACCTCCGGGGTGAGAAAAGCTGCTCCGGGTGCCCCTGGTCTGCTGGGGACTGTGTCCAGCAGACCAGGGACACCTGGAGCACAGCTGGGGGGGCGGTCCCCAGCAGACCAGAGGCACCAGGAGCAAAGCGGCAGCAGCGGCGGAGTCCCGCGCCTCTGAGGCTTTGCCAGAGCAAAGCCTCAGAGGCGCAGCACCCCGCCGCCGCCGCCGCTGCTGCTTTGCTCCCGGTGCCTCTGGCTTAAAAGAAGCTAGTGACCACCTCTGAGGCAGAAAACACACTTTACTTCTCTCATTCTCACAACTGTCATAGATTGGACAGCAAGGCCTGCTTTCTCTACAGACTCTACCAACTAGGAAATGGACAGCTAGAGACCCTGCTGACAGCCAGGTCAATAATACAACTCTGTGGGGCTTCTAATTGCATTCTACAGCCTACCCCAGCATGAGGGCATATGCCAATTTTTTTGGATTGTTTGGGGCTTGAGAAACAGTGCCTGTATGGTAGCATCTTTCACTGAAGCCAGGATTTTTCCTGTGTCAGTGAATTTCTGGGATGGCCAATCACTGCTACAGGCTATCCACAGGTCTCTTCAATTAGAAATGAAATTGTGTGTTTCACAGAACAGGGCTTCCTTGAAGGCCACTCAGTTGCTCCATAGTCCCCACCTGCTTACCTGGCAGGTGAGAAGTCATATGTACTCTTATCTACTGCCAAGACACATAAAGACTACAACTCCAGCCAAAGCTAGCTGTGAGGCAGCCTTCTGGCTCAGCAAGAGGAATATATTCAGCTCGGTGTGAAAACACCTGGTAGGGTCTAATTTACATGGGGGAGATAGCTGAACAGAGAAAGGAGGATGTAGAGCAGGGGTAGGCAAATACTGGCCCGCAGGCCAGATCTGGTCTGCCAGCATTAACCTTGATGGCCCCCATGTCACCATATTTACCTGCACCTTCGCAGGATCACCCATACCTCTGGAGGTGCAGTGGCTGCGGCCCACCAAGAGCTAACTCTGGTAAACTGCCTCCATTTTATTGCCCACCCTGATGTAGCGTGATGAAACGTAGCAAGAAATAGGGTAAAATTAGAGCTGTCCAGGAGGAACACTAATGCAGCAGTGTAAATATATTAGTAATGCAGAGAAAAAAAAACTGGATGCCCCCTTTTTCCTCTTTAGATTAAAGGTGTGTTATAAGGGGTTTATTCTTTTCTTGTAGACAGAAAAGGGATTGTTCCACTGGGAACACTAAGGCTATGTCTACACTGCAAGGTTTTTCACAAAACCCACCGTTTTTGCGCAAAAACCTGAAGAGCGTTCACACATCAAATGCACAAGTAAACTAGCAGTAAAACAGCAGAATAGAGGGCTTTTGCCGGTGTAGGTAAACCTCCTTCTATGAGGCATAACTCCCTTTTCCGCAACAGCTATTGCACACAAAGGCAAGTGTGGACACACCAGAGGGGTTTCTTGCGCAAGAAACCCCTATCATAAAAAGCACAGGTGCTCTGATGGCCATTCTGTGAATGGCAATCAGAGCTTTCTTGCGCAAGAGAATCCATGCAGTGTGGACATTCTCTTGCACAAAAGCACATCACTTTAGCAATGCGATTTGAGGTGTGGACGTGTTCTTGTGCAAAAAGTTCTTGCACAAAAACTCTTGTGCAAAAGTCTTATTGCGCAAGAAACCTGCAGTGTAGATGTAGCCTAAAGGTCTAATTCAGCCTTCCTTGAAAAGATTTTAATATTTTTCCCCCCACGAGACGGCAAAAGACAAAAAAAATTATTTTTAACACTACAAAAGTGTAGCTAGAGCCTTAAAGCAGCATCTACACTACACTATTTGATAGCCACTTTTAAGTTAGGGTAGGAACCTAGAAGACATTTTCTAGTTCTAAAAATGTTTTCTTGCATGGTTTAGTTCCATAGGTTTAAAACAAACAAAAATAAGTTTTTCTTCACTCAGCGCACGGTCACCCTGTGGAACTCCTTGCCAGAAGATGCGGTGAAGGCTAGAACTTAACAGGGATCAAAAAAGAGCTAGATAGATTCATGGAGGTTAGGTCCAACAATGGCTATTAGCCAGGATAGGTAGGAATGGTGGCCCTAGCCTTTGTTTCTCTGGAGGTGGGTGACAGGGGAGGGACCACATGAGGATTACCTTTTGTGATCCTTCTCTCTGGGACATCTGGTATTGGCCACTGTCAGCAGACAGGATACTGGGCTAGACAGACCTTTGGTCTGACCCAGTATGGCCATGTTTATGTTCTTATCCCCACTGGCTGGTCAGATAGCAATTGCTTCAGCAAAGGCCAAAAAGGGAGTTGATTAAAAAAAGTGTTACTCAAATCTTTGAATGCTATTAGTGAATACACAAGCAAAATTGCAATTAAAAAAAGACATCAAAAAAGTTTTTATATCTACTTTCTTTCTGATCACAGCATGGTCTGGCCATAATTTTGGCCTTTCCTCTTTGATGGTCTGCCTGTGAGAATCCCACAAAAAACTATCAGTTCTAACCAGAGACGGAATGTTCAGTCAGAGAGAAACCTGTCTTCTGTTCAAACAGCAGCTTCTCTACTGTAGTCTGTGGAGCACTTGCTGATGGTCAGCACAGCAGCATGGTCTCATGCTGCTGGACATCTTCCTTGTTTCTAGTTGAATTTACAAGTGTCCAGGCTCTTCCTGAAAGGAGGAGCACAGATGCCTGTAAAAGTAACTGGAAAATAGGAAGACAAACTAAATATGTTTTCTAGATGGAGTGAATCTCAGAATGCCCGTAATTAATTTTCCCTAACCACTGAACACCTGTATCTTTTATCTTGCTTAACAGAGCAAACTTACATATTTAACCTGGGCCAGGCTCTGAGGCTGTGTCTCCATGGATGGAGCCATGTAGATTAGGGTTGTAGGCAAAGGCAAATGAAGCCATGATTTCAATGATCGCAGCTTCATTTAAATTTACATGGCTGCCGCGCTGAGCCGACAAACAGCTGATCAGCTGTTTGTCCGCTCAGCGTGCTAGTCTGGATACTCCCCTGCCGACATCAAAGCCCTTTGTCAGCAGCCCCGTTATTCCTTGTGGGATGAGGTTTACCGGGGCTGCCGACAAAGGGCTTCTCTTTTTTCTTTCTTTGTTTCCTTTCACAGGCAGAGAAAAAGGGAGCCAGTGATACAGTTGTTGGACTTGTTTTTGGATGCTTTGCTGTATCCTATTTCTTGACTTCTTTAATATTAGGCAATTATGTAAGTATTTTTGTAGTTTTCAGTACTGACTTAATTATGGAACAGAACCTAACAACCTCACACAGGGTATGTCTAGACTACATGGCTCCGTCGACGGAGCCATGTAGTCTAGACATACCCTGTGTGAGGTTGTTAGGTTCTGTTCCATAATTAAGTCAGTACTGAAAACTACAAAAATACTTACATAATTGCCTAATATTAAAGAAGTCAAGAAATAGGATACAGCAAAGCATCCAAAAACAAGTCCAACAACTGTATCACTGGCTCCCTTTTTCTCTGCCTGTGAAAGGAAACAAAGAAAGAAAAAAGAGAGAGAGAGAGAGAGAGACCATTGTACACTAAGAAAAATGTTAGCATTGGGTTAAAATGCTTCCTAATCAAGTCTCATATCTTTACTCTTCTTTAAATGCTTTATGACCATTCTGGCAAATACTTCGAAAGAAGAGTGGGAGATTCAGCAGTAAGTCTGCAGACAAGTCCATCCCTAGAATTTTTGGAGCCCCAGGCAGCTCTCTCCGGGGGCTGCCCCCTCTTCAGGTAGGTGGAAGGTGCTGTGCTCAGGGCTGCAGGGGCAGGAGCTGTGCGGGGCAAGAGCAGGGCAGGAGACAGCAGGGGTTGGGCCCACACCTGCACTCACTGGAAGCAGTAGGAAGCTAAGCAACTGGCCCCTGCATGTTCCACTCCCCCAGCTCAGTCAGGAAAGAGCATTTTGGGGAGAGGAGGAACCGCCCCACACACCCACTCACCGGTGGTGTTAAGAAGCAAAGCGATGCACTAGGGAGACAGTGGTGTGGAGCAGGCTGGAGCCAGGCACTCTACTTCCCCCTTGCCACTGCTGGTGAGTGCAGGGCAGGGCCTGACCCCCTGCCGCCATGGCCAGGCCTCCTGCTAATAACCTAGGCATGTCGCTCAGGGAAGGAGGCATGGGGAAAAGAGTGAAATGGGGGCAGTGCAGAGCGGGGTAGGAAGAGACAGGGCATGGTGGAGCAGGGGCATGGATGTCCTAGACCCTGCATCCCCCTAGGGAAAACTCTTCTGGGTGCAGGATGGACTAGCCAGGGGTTGGGGCTGGCCTCCAGAGCCATTGCGATAGCATACACATCATGCAGCTGCATGGGCACCACAATTCCCAATTTGATGCCCCTAATTTCATGGCACCTACATGGCTGCATATTGGTCGAGTTGGCCTTGCCTACAACAGGTCAGCTAGTAGGCCCTTGCAGAGAGGGGCCACATCCATTGTCTTGTATGCACAGAATCTGCTGTCTCCCCAGCATAGTTCACCTACCTCACATCCCAGAATGTCACAGAGTACACCCTGCAAATTTGAAATGCTTGCAGGAAAGGGTGTGTGAACTGGGCAGGAGAAAGATGACAACATCTGTCCAGTGACCTTACAGAAATTATCTGGGAAGAGCCAATGCATTCTGTCACTCTACCTTTCTTTTCCACTGGGGCCCCAGTGCGGGGGTGGATGTGTGTGTGGGGAAATCAGAGGGTGGTTCCAACACTGGAACAGAGGTAAAAGGCCTCTGCACAGAGAACTAGTCTCACATCATGGTGGCTATGCAACATTTCGGGGGCAAGCCTTGACGATCATTCCATGAAATAGATGGGTGAAACAATGGAATGTTCAAGGAGAAAAATCTTTAGCCCTCTCCTGTAGATATTGCCCCAAGTGGGGATGATCTGGCCAACAGACCAGGACATTCCTCCTGCTCTCTCTGACAATGAATTTGCTCTGATAAAAAGATCATTCTGAAGTGGCATAGAGCTCTACATTCATTTTTCTTAACTTGCACACAAAGTCTGCGCAATTTAAAGTGATAGGAAAACTACCTTTGCTATGTGCCAGCCCACCAAACTTTAGCCTGGGGAAGACTGAGAGGGAAGTCATAAGTGGATGGGTTAGGCCAGGCATGTCCAAAGTCCGGCCCGCGGGCCAATTGCGGCCCGTGTTCTGGTTTAATACGGCCCCCCAGGTAATTTGGCAATATCTATCTTTTATGGCCCCCAACGAATCCATATGTATTAAGATGAATACATTGTAAAATCTCAGTTAATGTCAGTTGGTCTAAATCAGTTATAAATATATTTGGACACAACATGTATACTTGGTGTTATGTTCCTGTTCATATTTTTTGAACTTAAAAGTTGACAGACAACCTTTATTACCAATAATATGTAATGTACTTTACAATGTTCCTGACATATATTTCAGCTTCCTGGATTTTTTTTTCATCTGGCCTTCAGATATGAAAGGCAGAGTGATTTAACACCTGTTTAGATTTGTCATCCATGTGACGAAATGAAAAGTATGCCGTTTGCAATAAACTTTGCATAAAATAGTTAATTTGCATTTAATTTTAATGGTTCAAAGAATGTCAGGCAAAATGGTCGGCCCTCACGCATGTTCACTTCATCAAATCTGGCCCTCTTTGAAAAAAGTTTGGACACCCCTGGTATATAGCATTCCTTTGTATCAGGGAAGATCTAGAATTCAGAATGACCTTAGAAAAATCAATTAGCTGAATGTGATGAGATAAAGAATTCTCACTTTCCTCTGTTTATAGCATGTTCCTCCTCTAGATAGTCTTGAATGGAAGGTTAGGCAGTGGAAGAAGTGAGGGGAGTGGAGTGGTCAAGGGATAGAGCACTAGAATGGTAGTCAAGGGTATGTCTACACTAATTTGAACTAAGCTAATTCGAACTAACGCATCTAGACCTAAAAACTAGTTCGAATTAGCATTTTGCTAATTTGAACTAGCATGTCCACATTGAGTGGACCCTGAACCGGGGTTAAGGATGGCCGGAAGCAGTGCCGGCAGGGCACACAAAGCAAATAGTCAACCTGTGGAACTCCTTGCTGCAGGAGGCTGTGAAGGCTAGAACTAGAACAGAGTTTAAAGAGAAGTTAGATAAATTCATGGAGGTTGGGTCCATTGAGTGGTATTAGCCAGGGGACAGAAATGGTGTCCTTGGTCTCTGTTTGTGGCAGACTGGAGATGGCTGGCATGAGACAAATGGCTTGGTTATTGTCTTTGGTCCATCCCCTCCAGAGTCCCTATTGTTGGCCGCTGTCGGCAGACAGGCTACTGGGCTAGATGGACTTTGGTCTGACCCAGTACGGCCATTCTAAGCTCAGGGCTCAGGGTGGGGAGCAGGCTTCAAACTAATAACAGAAAGTTCTTCTTCACAAAGCAAATAGTCAACCTGTGGAACCCCTTGCTGCAGGAGGCTGTGAAGGCTAGAACTAGAACAGAGTTTAAAGAGAAGTTAGATCAAGTCATGGAGGTTGGGTCCATGGAGTGCTATTAGCCAGGGGGTAGAAATGGTGTCCCTGCCTATTGTTGGCCGCTGTCGGCAGACAGGCTACTGGGCTAGATGGACTTTGGTCTGACCCAGTACGGCCATTCTAAGCTCAGGGCTCAGGGTCGGGGGTCTCAGTTGACCACCCTGATTTTCATGCAAACCTGCTCCTGGGTGGCCAGGCTGGCAGCTATCCTGCCCTAGACGCCCACTTTCCTGTGTGTAGTGCGGACGTCATGGATGAGGTCCATGATCTCCGCACTAGACCAGGCGGGCGCCCGCCTCCTTCGGACCCGGGGC